AGGGCACAAGGCAGGGAACAACCCAGGATGGGGCGCCAACCCATCGCAGCTCACACTCACATAACATTCTATTGGTATTGTATAAAATAAAAATATGATTTTATACGCATTTCATGTATTATAAACCTAGAATAGTATACAATAGCATAAGCACGATAACCCTGAAAGGCTGATTAAATAAAAATCACACATTCAGCTTGTTTTGCACTGCTAAAGCTATCCATGAACATGTAGCTAAACAGCAGTATTTGCAATTTATTTTGATATCCATCTACATACATATTTTTTATTTTATTTATAGTCCTTTTATTGCCATGTAAGACAGGAAGAATCATCCTATATACCTCATTTATTATTCACAGTAATGGCTCCTGTGGAAGCTACCATGTTGTCTGTCGTCACTGCAGCCACTTCTCAGTGAAGTCAGGCCATGTGAAATTGGCCCAAGTTTCCCAAAAGGAGCTTCAACTTCAAGAGCTGTTCCTTAATCCTTTTTCAGATAGGAGGCCGGACATTTTCAAGCTCCAAGATGCTTGGAACACAGCATATGTACCTGTATGAGTGGGAAGGCCTGGGCTTAAATATACTAGATTTAAAAGCAATTACACACAGCAAATGTTTTGATCAAAAAATACATCAGGGCAGCGTAAGTAATACAGAGCTGTGTGTCTCTATAGATGGGCGCATTTTACACCAGTCAAAGGTTCTGACCCATTTCCACTACTTATTGATGCTGTTGCTTTTTTCTGCCTCAAAGCCAGTACATTTGCAGCATGCCATATGCATATATTGTTTGAATGAAAGTTGGACTCCTTGGTGTTGAGACTATGTTGTACAGTGGCTTAAGAAAATTATTATGTGTGGATTCAGAGTCAATGAGCTAATTGATTACTAAGAAAGAGCACCAGTTTTACTTCTATCTACCACAGTGCCACACTTTCGGAAGCAAAGTCCTGCTCAATATTGTGTTTGCACTGTATATACTTTTCTTGCACCTCTTTGGCACTGCATGTTTGTATCTGTGCAACTGTGTATCTCACTGCTGTATGCAAAAGCATTACCCACTGGGATCAAGGAAGTATATCTCATGCCTCAGATGTAGATGTTTAATTCCCACAATATTTTTAATGCCTGCAGATTCCAGATACCAGATTAAGATCTAATAGACTTCCACAGTGTTCCTCATAATTGAATTATATTCCTCCACGTCATACTTGTCTGCACTGCATTATCCAGCACTCTTATATGCAGCTGTGGGGTCTTATCAATGAGGTCACAGCCTGAGCATGTAGCAGACAGCTGAGACAGCCTGTGGACACTTCAGTAAGACAACCAGTGCCGAGTTATGAAAGCTGATTATCAGACCCACAATAAAAAGCTTATCATCACCCCCTCAAACCAATGCTGATCATCATCCTCTGAAACCAATGCTCATCATCACTGCAACGAACCAAAGCTTACCATCATGCCAAGAAACCAAAACTGATCATCACCTCAATAAAAGAAAGCTGATCATCACCCCACCAAACCAATCCTGGTTTTCACCCCCACAAACCAAAGCTGATCATCACCCCCCACAAACCAAAGGTAGTCATCACCCCAACAAACAAAGTTGATTGTCACCCCCCCACAATCTAAAGCTGATCATCCCCTCTCAAATCAAAGCTGATCATCACCCACTCAAACCAAAGCTGATCATCCCCCCAAAATCCAAAGCTGATCATCCCCCGTCAAATCAAATCTGATCATCACCCCCACAATCCAAAGCTGATCATCACCCCACAAAGCTGATCACCCCCACAAACCAAAGCTGATCATCACCCCCACAAAGCTGATCCTAACCCACTCAAATCAAAGCTGATCATCACCCCAATAAACAAAGCTGATCCTTACCCCCTCAAACCAAAGCGGATCATCACCCCCACAAAGCTGATCATCCCTCCAAACCAAAGCTGATCACCCCCCACAATCCAAAGCTGATCATCCCCCCACAATCCAAAGCTGATCACCCCCCTACAATCCAAAATTGATCACCCCCTACAATCCAAAGCTGATCATCACCCCCACAAACCAAAGCTGANAAACCAAAGCTGATCACCCCCCACAATCCAAAGCTGATCACCCCTCCACAATCCAAAATTGATCACCCCCTACAATCCAAAGCTGATTATCCCCCTAATAAACAAAGCTGATCATCACCCCCACAAACCAAAGCTGATCATCCCCCAATAAACAAAGCTGATCACCCCCCCACAATCCAAAGCTGATCATCCCCCAATAGACAAAGCTGATCCTCCCCCCACAAACCAAAGCTGATCATCCCCCCAATAAACAAAGCTGATCATCACCCCCACAAAACTGATCCTCGCTCCCTCAAACCAAAGCTGATCATCACCCCCACAAACCAAAGCTGATCACCCTCCCACAATCCAAAGATGATCATCCCCCATTAAACAAAGCTGATCCTCCCCCCACAATCCAAAGCTGATCACCCCTCCCAAACCAAAGCTGATCACCTCCCCACAATTCAAAGCTGATCATCACCCCCACAAACCAAAACTGATTGTCACCCACATTAACCAAAGCTGATCACCTCCCAGACTAAGCAAAGGTCATCAGCACCTCAACAAACCAAAGCTGACCATCACCCCCACAAACTAAAGCTGACCTGAAACTACCCAGCACCTTATCCTCGAACCTGATTCAAAGCTAGTTTGCAATCCTGTACATGAACATATGTCCAAATACCACAAAAACATCATTTGGTCACATTTTCGCACTTGGTCCTTTTCAGTCCCTTTCAGTTCCAGTGAATGATGAATCTGCTCAGGCCCAATTTGACCAGTCAGTCTTACAGGTGAGCACCAGTCTAACCAGTCAAATCCAGCACTGTAATACTATGACATCACCACTCTGTCAAATTCAGCTGACGAGACCGTAAACAATGACACACGCTCACAGATAAACACTCTATGGGGGCTCACACACTCAGAATGACAGGCATTGCGTCTCAGGCCCTGCATCACTCTAAATACACTGTCCTCTGACGTTTGCATCCAGCCGGTGGTTTTGCTGACCTGCGTCTGGGTGCTGACGCCTTTCTGGACAGACAAGCCAGCGTGGCCTGTTTACTGCTGAGTACATATGGATTCAGGCTGATTGACCTCGTTGTTCTTAAATTGAGCTGAAGCACAAGTATGTTCTTTAGAGAGTGGGATCAGGATGGAAGCCGGTGAGCACCCCCTGCTGGTGAGCCTCTGCAGGCTATGTGGGAAGTTGCATCAGCGGTGAGCTCAGTCCCCCTCTCCTGCAGGAGCGTCTCAGCCGTGATGAAAATAGCTCCTTTGCTCTGAGAGGTGAAGGGTGAGGGATGCAGAGGCAGGCTGCTGATGCCCGATCGATGCTCGTCTGCACACGTGCTCGTCACAGCATGATGCTCAAGCGGCACTTCTGCAGCATCTGATTCTCACACAGGATTGGTCCCTGTCCACAAGCAATCAGAGCCTCTCACACGTTACAGCAGCTAAAGAACCAGGGAAACACCCCCCCCCCCCACACACACACACACACACACACCCCACCCAGCCCCCGCCCTCAGCGTGTCATGGCATGAAAGCTGTGCCTTTACGTGTTCATGTTCATGTGAGCAGCTGACGCCAAACCTCCCCCCCAGTGTCTTACCTTGCGCTTGCGGTCCCTTGACCGACTCCTCTTCCTGTTCAGCTCCTCCTCCCTCTCCCGCTGCTCCTGGGCCGCTTGCTCCGCTAGGTCCTTAGTCTTCCGCAGCTGCTTGGCGGCTTGCGCCATGGCGCCCCCGTTTCTTCCTCCTCCTCCTCCTCCTCAGAGCCCCTGAGAGGGGTCACTGCCACGCAGCGCTCGCTCCTGCAACCCTTACAGTCCCCTCCTGTCCGTATCTGTCGCTTCTCTTGTTTTCCTCTCTCCCCTCGTTCCTCTGTGATCCCTGATGCGGTTTCTGTCCGCTCTCCCTCCCTCGCTCGCTTGCTCGCTCCCCTCCCTCTCCGTCTCTCTCTCCCTCACTCTCGCTCACCGCACATACCTCTCCTTTCTCCCATCCACTGTGTGCGTGTATCTCAGCTGTTTGTTGCAGAGGGGGGTCACTCCCTGCCTGTCCCACCCCCTCTCAGCATCTCAGCCCATGTCCTGGGCTCTGCTTTGTCGCACTGGGCTGCTGCGCTGCAGGTGCTGCATGCCGATGGCTGAAGCTGTGTGTTTCTCTACCTGCCTAACAGTGCTGTCTACATGAAGTAGAAAGAGTCTGATGCTAAGAGCTGTTTACACTGTGTAGTCACACGGCTTCATCCCAAGGCTGTGTGGTACCTGCTGTACTGATTCCCTGGCTGACTCTGAGGGTGCCTGCTGACTCTGTGGATGCCAATTCTGAGGGTGCTGGATTACACTGAGGGTACCGACTAACTCTGAGGGCACCAGATGACTCTGAGTGTGCTAGCTAACTCTGCGGGCTGCAGCAGACTCTGAGAGTGCTGGTTGATTTTGAAGGTGCCAGCTCTGATGGTACCGACTGACTCTAATGGTGCCAGCTGACTCTGTAGGTGCCGACTGACTCTGAGAGTGCCAGCTAACTCTTAGTGTTTGTGCTGTTCCTTCAGGCTGGTGGTGAGCACACACGCACACACACACACACGCGAACATACACGCACACATACACACACACACGCACACATACACACACACACGCACGCTGCTCAAAGTGCTATTCCAGTCCACACCAATCCCTGCCCCCCGCCCCCCTCTGCAGTGCACATGAATGTAGCAGGAGCAATTGAGTAACTGAGCATGTCGATGTCTGTACTCTGTGGGAGGGGGGGCTGCGGCTGTGGCTGCAGCAGGTCCATGCTGTTCTGCACCGTCGTGTGTTTGCATGTGTGGATCCCCCCCCCCCCCCCCAGGTTTGAGCCCCTCTGCATTGCTGCTGACGCAGGCAAGAGAACAAACCTGTGCTGACAGGCTCCGTGCTTCCT